ACTTGTGTGTTTCCACACACATACACACGTGCATTAAAAAGAGAATTTAGTCTTTCAAATCATCCTCCAATAATAAAAGCCACTGCTTTGCAATAAATTTCTTCAGGAAAATGTGGAACTTTTAAGAGAAGATTTCTGACACTATCACCTTTCAGCAGGCAAGGCCAACTGAGCTGGAAAACACACCAGCTACTCTGTAAACATGTGCTGAAATGCTGCAGAGCTGGGAGTGTGCAGGAGGATTCACTGCAGTCACCATCAGGCAAACACTGCCCTGTCACAGCACTGCCACCCCCGGCTGTTCTTTGGACACAGCCAGGTTACAGGTCACCTGTTCCTGTGCAGGCCTGCTGAGCAGGGTGCTGTTCAAAGCATTCTTCATCACATCACATTTTTTACAAACTGTAAGACAATTCTGTTGTACCTGAGGTTAAGTCTCATCACAAGAGCAGACTGAAGTTCTTCACTGACCCAAACCCACATCCAAACCCCTCGAGACATGGAAACACTCACCACTACAGCAGAAAGAATGCTGGTTTTTTTTTTTTTTCCCTACAAGAATAATTCTATTTAAACAAGGCATAAGTGCTAAGATTAGAAACAAGTATAAACTGTGATATGAAACCTCACCTGGACTATTGCTATTGGTGCTCTGCATCATTTACTCATATACACACAGACACAGATGCAAACACACACCATTTATCAGTAAGCATTAGCAATGCTTACACAGCCTGCAGCTGATTGCAGGCACCAGAGCAGCAATGAACAGAAGCATTTGCTTACCTTGCTAATTAGAAGACCTCAGGATAAACAGAGCCAGCAAAAGCTTGGAATGAAACCTCTTTTTTTTTTTTTTTTTTGAATAATACCATAGAGTTCCCATTCCCTTTTTAGGAAGTTGGTGGTGGGGGGTAAAATCAGGCATCAAGTGTGCAAAGAAAAGAAAATACAGAGAAGTTCTAGTCACCTGCTGAATCAATGATCCGTGAGCACTGGAGTTGAAAATTCACTGTGTTGAAAGAAAAATTATATAAACACAAAGCAAACCAAAACAGTTACCGTGGGTACAGCTGAAGTGACAGAACTGGATCTCGATGGTGACTTGCAAAACCAGTTTTCTCTGTGCCCTCCTGCCCCCACCCCAACCAATTTACACCTCAAAGATGGAGTTGTCTGACCAATGTAAACAGGAAAAAAGGGAGAAAAAAAAATAAGTCCCAAGGAAAACAGCACACGAGGTTAACACATGCTCCATATTTAATACTGAAGGTCTGACATGACACTGCATACTGTCACATTCCAGACTCTCGGGCTCAGAATCAACCCTTCAAAGGAGCTGACACATCTATGTGGTGCTGGATCCACTCCAGGTACTGACTAACTTTGGTGTAGACTCCAAATTTCTCCCTTCTCCCACAGCCTTCGCCCCAGCTCACCAGTCCTACCAAAAACCAAGTATCCTTATATTTGGTGAACATGGGGCCCCCGCTGTCCCCAAGGCAGGCATCTTTCCTGTCTCCCAGGCTCCCAGCACACAGCATGTTGTCGGAGATGGGAGACATCATGGCCTGGGCACACTCGTTGCGGGGCACGATGGGGATCTCGATGTAGCGGAGGGAGGTGGGGTAGCTGACGTTAACGTCGCTCGTGCTGCCCCAGCCGGTCACCACCATCTGCCTCCCGCTCTTGGTGAGCTCCTGCTCGGCCAGGTTGCGGGTGGGCAGGCAGATGGGCAGCGCGTATTTGTAGTACATGGCGTGCTGGGCCAGGTGCAGCATGGCTATGTCGTTATCCGACGTCTCCTTGGTGTAGTTCTCGTGGATCACCTGCTTATCGACACGAATGATTTGCTCATCTGCATCGCGACGATAGAAAAGGAATTTACCTGGAGGAGCAAACAAGAAGAAGATGGATGCTGCTGAGCCTTCCCTCCCCTTGAACACCAAAGCATCTGGAATATGCTGTACTCCCATGGTTTTACTTCCCTTGTAATACAGACATTTGCTCATTTTATGTCACAGGTTGACAGTGTTTTCATCAGATGGGCAAACCTTTAAATTTTCCCTATTTACTGAAATCATGAATACCCCCAGTCCTAAATGAACTGTTGCCCTAGAGCTCTGGTCCTCAGCTGAGAAACCAAAATGCCCTGCTGTGTTCACACTTCAGTATAGCTGTGCAGTGGAGAGACCTCCTTCAGGAGGAAAACAACCTCCTTGGAGCCAGCATTCAAAGCTGGAAGAGCAAGCACATGCAAAGCAGGACACTGATGACAGGACATGAGCTTTATGCTGCCTGAATGAAATGTCAGGATTTATAAATAAAGGCGACTGACTGGTCAGGGTATTCCTCTCTGAAACCTTACATCTATTTTAAGGAACCTTTGACTGCTTAAGACTTCTGCGTTGCTATTTGTGCTACATGATCACAGCCACTTAAAGGGCCAAGCAGTCAGTGGAACAGTGAGCAGGAAACCTATGTTGAAAAGGGCCAGAAAAGCAAGAAGTCCTTTGTGATACACTGGGATAGGAAAGGCGGGTCTTTCTTGTAGGCTGTCAGTGAGGTCTTGCAGCTGTTTTTTTTTCTGTAAAGAGTCAGTGTCTCCAAGTGTAGGGGCTTATGAGCCACAGTAGCTACAGAAACATATTCTCAAAAGATCCCTTAAGTCCAGCTTTGGATCTTGGACTTCCAGAGCAATTATTTCTGAGTCTCTCCTCTTGTTCCTCTGCAGACATCCAACGTAAAATTCACACCTGGCTAGAGCTGGTGGCTGAAACTGCTCTGACGTGTTGTATTAAGTAGTTCCAGAGCCTGAAGGACTTCCTGGTATCAAGCCAACAACCACAAATCAATGTTTTTTTCCTATCACAACCCATCTTCCTTGTGGGGCCAGTGTCCTTGGAGCACTCCAAGGGGGCTGACAGGGAAGAGGCAGGGCTTTATTCCTGCTTTCACGGGTACAAACTCTGCTTTAGGTCTCAGAAATAACCCTGGACTCAAATGCTGTCAGCTCATCTCCTCTGAGGAAGGCAGCGTGGGTGAGCAGGAACACACGTGCTGCACGGCTCACTCTTGTGCATCACAACCCTCAGGCCATGGCCACAGACTTGTTTCTTCCTCTGTGAGTAAGGAAGGTCTTTTGGGCAAGTTGGGAGTGAGAGAAAGCCAAGCCCCACTGATAACCATCCTGACACTATAAATTACTCCATAAACTTGCCCCAAATTCAGGTCTCTGAAGTTTCATTTAAACAGAACAAAATCTTCTCAAATCAGAGATCTCAAGTGCTGACATTTCTTCACCCACTGAAAATCACATTTTATTTGGACTCTCCTGACAGATCCCACCCCTTCTTTCTTGGCTGCAGACACATTTCAGAGTATGGTTATACCAGCTGAAAGCTTGTCAGGCTGCACAGATCTCTCTCTAGACCTGCAGTATGAGGCCAGGGTGGAACAATATAAGTGCAACCCCAATACTTCCCTTAGTTACCAACTTTCCACTGAGCTCTTCCCTCCCAAGTTATGCTCAAAGCTCCCTCCAACACAGCAGAGCACTCCACCACCACATCTGACAGCTGCTTTTCCTCTAACAAGGTTTCTTAGTGAAGCTCTTCTTGGGCTTTACTAAAACTAATGGAAAACACTTAAAAAGGAAGAAAATGACATCATGTATGCACATTTCCAAACTACCACATACACTTGTACTTGGATGTCTCCCTGTGAAAAGGTGGATATTCTGGCACTGGGAGGACCCAAGGCTACATCACATACTTCTCCATTCATCCTGCATGTTGGAAGCAGCACTGCTACTTGACAGGGTGACATTTTCTCATGCTCCAGAGCAGCAGTGCAAGTAAAGGCAGTGTTGCCATTCTGCAGCACCTCTCCTCCTCCTGCAATGAAATTCTCTTAAGTAACAGTGTTTAAATGCATGAAAAGGCAGGAAGACACCCTGTGACATTCTCCTCCTTGCACCAAGACTTTTTTTTTCCAGTATTGAGATGATCTTGAATATTTTCAGCACCAGAAAAAAACAAGGAGAAGAGACCAAGTCTTTCTATTTTACAGACCAGCAGCAGTGCTCAGAAGACATCAGCTCACTTCCACAGTAAGGCTGACAATGCCTCAAAGGAAATCAGTTTTTTACTAAGCTTTGTTTCAAGCTAAGGTGCATATTTAAATACTGCCTAGACAATTCATTCCTACAAACAAGGACAACCAACCTTCAGAACGTGCTACTTTTCCCCCTGAAATGATAAATATTTTGAATGAAATGGTTACATTTAAAAAACATGGGGAGAGATGATTTTCCATACCAAGTCTTACTTTGAGCTCCTTTTCTGTGTCCAGGCAGTGTGCTGCCGTTAGGACCCAAGCTGGATGGATGAGAACACCCCCACACAGAAACTTCCCACTTGTACTTTGCAGCATAACCTGAAACCAAACAAGAGAAGGGTGAGGTGTGACACTGCCCTGAGTGTGGCTCCCCAAGTGCTGTGCACACCCTTCTTTGGGGCTGCCAAATACCCCCGTGCATCAGGCACCAAAGCAGGGCACGTGTACCGAAGCCAAAGCTCCACAGTGGGACAAAAGCCCTATGAATGGAGTCTCTGTGAAACACCTACAAACAGGTTTAGAATGTTCTTCCTGAATGAGGGCTGGCTTCATCCAAATCAGCATGGGGGTGATGCTGGGCACTGCAAAGAAGCACTTTGTACTCAAAGCTTCAAAACACAGAGCATAAACGAGGGGATTTTTCTTGTGTCCCACACCAGAGACAGTGCATCATCTCAGACTACAGCTCTCACACTGTGGTGTTAAAGGGCCTTTAATATCAAAGAGAACCAGGTCCTGATTATTTGCATTCATGAGTTCCATGAGAAGCTCTGTGAGGTCTCCCCTTTCTCTGTGATATCCCAACCTGCCATGGCATATTTTGCTGATTGAATCTGTTAACTTGAATATATGACAGACAAGGCTTATAAAGCAGGGTGAGAAAGTCCCCTCTCCCTCCCACCATGAGGCTGGAGCACACATCCCATCACACAGCACGAGTTCCCCAGGATGGAGCAACAGAGTAGGTGAGTGTCATCACCATCCTCTCTCTTGACAGTGTTGGCAAGGTAAGGTAATAAACTTGCCAACAGCGACAAGGTCAAGAGTCCAAACAGATACTAAGTTATTTTTTCTTGCTACTCCAACTTTGGGGGCTTTTGAAAAATCTGAGGAAGTTTTAGCTTCACATGACACCACCAGGAATGTAGGAACCTTTCTGGAGCAGCCAGGCAGAGCAGTTTGGTAAGAGCCTGAACTACTTGTGGTGAAGAACTCTTTTCTCCTACCTGCCAAGGGCTGTCTCCCCTTCTTCCAGCTGTTCCCTCAATGAGCCGAATATTCAAGTCTGCTTTGGCTTTCATGTCGTCCACCTTCACTCTCCCACAGGGGAACTCCACTGTGCAGATGCAGAGAAGTTCACTAGCAAAGCCCACATCACCCAATACAAAACTTCTTTCTAGAGCATTCCCTCTGTGTCTCTAACCTAGGCAATACTGGTCAGAGGCTTCATGGAAGTCCCTCAGTGCTTGGCAAGGAGGCAGTCTCCTGATTCCCCTCTATGTCTCCGTGAGGCAAACACAGATTAAGGGCCATAAAGCAGGTATGGAGTTGAGAAATGTAGGCAGAGTTACTCTGCACAGAATAGGTGATTTGAAAATGAGTACAAAGTGCACTGCTGACAATTCTGCCCTAAAACTCTCTTACTTCAGTCTAAAAAATCCTCTGTCAAACCTGGATTACAAACATCCTCCTCTTACCTACAGGCTTGCACGAGACGTGGTCGTTCATCAGCTGATAGCCCGATGCGCAGCTGCAGGAGCGACCCTGGGTGGCAGGGTCATCCCTGCAGAAATGGTCACATCCTCCGTTATCCACCGAGCAGTTGGTGTATTTCACCTCTGAGGGAGAGAGGAACAGCAACAGAGATGTGAGAAGTTTGAAAGTCAAGAGTCACAGGGAGGTAATGTGGCAGTGGGCAATAAGCTGTCAATGATTTGGGCTGGCAGTTGTGGGCTTTAATGGCACATGGGCCCTGAGACAGCAAACAACCTTGGTCCAGAATCAGTGGGGAGATGGAGGAAACAGATTATTACTGTCAGAGCAGGTAGACTGGAGAACAGAAAATTCCCTGTCACTACATGCAAGTCACACAGTGCAAAGTGTTGATGATACAGGACATACAGTGCTCATCCTTAACTATGCTATCCAGCTTTTGTTCAAGGAAAAATTGTCACAGCAATGACAACTGACACTGTATTTAAAAACCTCACCATCATCCCTGGGTTGACAGTTCTGAAGTAACTGAAAACCCTGCTTTACAGAGTTATTTTTGGTACTTGTTCAAAATTTAGATATCTCAGATCTCCGAACTTCTATGGCAACACAAAGTTAATTTTGCTTTAGATAAGCACAAATAAACCTCCTACCACAATCATGAAGAAAGAGAGAAATCACATTAGCAAAGAAAGTGAGTAAGCTGTGCAATGACTGAAGTGTTGACCCCTACTGCACAGAAACCCCTGTCATAAAGGATGTTATAGTGGATTAAATGCAGCATTACCATAATTGCAGAAAACCCCCTCCCAGCCTTTGTTACAGATGCAGGAAAATTTTCCAATGAAGTCCTTGCAGATGCCATTGGAACAAGGCTGTGGCGCACACTGATCTCCATCTGAAACAGAGGTAGGAAAACTCAGTCCCTGAACCATCCAGAGCTCACAGATCAAACACCAACATGAACAGCCCCCCCTAGATTCCCAAACATCACCCATGTGATGGGTGTTAAATTTCTGGCACTTATAGGTGACACTCGCCCAGAGACAGGGCATCACTCTGGGTTCTCACCTACAGCTGCAGAGAGTGGGGTGGGCAGAAGGGGAGGGAAGGGCAAAGCAGACATGGCAGTGCTGGTGACTGCAGGGGTGGGGCTCCTCTTTGGCCCACATCAGACAGGGTTAGAGCACCAAAGCCCCTTTCACCAACTCCTTAGCTCTGGGGAGGTGACTGATGGCAGGTACAGGTGCACCTCGAGTGTTTTAGGAAGGCTGGTTATGTGATAGAATGGGAAAACACTCTTTGCACACCCCATATAGGAGAAAATGAGAATATGAATCAGTATTGGCAGGAGGAAGGCTGAGTACCAGTTACTCTTGAGGAAGCACAGAGAAGTGATTGGGAAAGTCTTTTACTTACCTACATACTTGCTCCAAAAATCGAGCTGTGGAGAAACAAAACTTGTATTATGGTGAGAAAACCATTTTTAACAAGTGAGGGATTTAAAGTGTATCATGGTCTTGGCCAACAGACAACAGCACTCCAGTCAACAGCATCAGTCTCACTCTTCTTGACAGTGTAGTGACTGGCACTACGAACCAAGAAAACTGGCCAAATGATCCTGTGCTGCTTGTACTCAGCACAGATCTCCCCTGTCCTGCTTGCAGACCCACCAACACCAAAGCCCCTCAATATCCCCACTGCTTCTCTGTTTTCTTGTCATTTTTCTGCCAGGTGAGGCATCCAAGTTCACTTGTGCCCCCTCAGATAAAAACCTGGGCACTCCAAAGACAGATCCCTCTCTGTCCTGGGTTTTGAGGGACAACAAAGACTGGCTCATCCTATTCTGTGAGCTACTCTGCTCAACACAGTAACAAAGAATCCAGGCCCACAGAACAACTGAGGGTGGAAAAGGGGCAGGAGTCAGTTATGCTGACACTAAAGGCAGGGCCCAATTGAAAATTCGAGTTTGGAGAGAGAATCTAGTCATGAGAGAAATGTTTGCCAGGCCCAGCTGGGAGACTGGGGAGATACAATGAAAGGCAGCCAGGGCTGGTGAATGGACAACAGAGGGCAAAGACTGGAAGGAGTGGGAAAAACTCAGTGGCAGCAAGAATAGCCAGTGGGGTCAGGCAAGGATTGGAATTATCTGGCTGGGCCCTAAACCTCACCATTGGGTCAGGTGGGACATGCACGAACAGCCACGTTTTGTGGCCCATACAGGTGGTAACACGACCATCACTGTAACAGAATGACATTCAAAACCATGCCCACACCTCAGGAATCAGGAGAGATCCATGTTCTGTGCTGACAGCATGATCTCCTATGCCCTGGACTGCAATACTTTAAGAAAAGAACTGATTGGGTAACTGCCACACTCATCCTTAAAAAAACAACTTACTGTTGCTTCCTTGGTTTCAAATATCTCACTGGCCTCCTCATAGTCACAGCGCTCTTCAATGCACTCCCGCTCCACAGAGCCCGGCTTGAGCTCCTCCAGGAAAGTGTTTGCCCGCTTCTGGATCCTCAGGACTTGGTTTGCATCTTTAGTGTTGTAAAATACTGCAAGCAAAAATGTGAAAGCACAAGCAGAGAAAAGTGCTGGCTGAAAATCAGTAGCGGTGCTTCCCAAAGGACACTTAGCTGAGCACCAGCCCCTCTCCAGCACAGCAAGAGGGGCTGCCCTGGACACCAGGGTCTGTCTGTGCTGTGCTGCTCTTGACAGCTCAGGGGCTCAGGAGGGCTGTGACCAGGCAGCTGTCATGGCCCAGCACTGCCTGTCAGCTCTGCTGGAGGAATTCAAACTCCCTAATAATGGAAACAATTCCAGCCGCTCCATCCGACTGACACAGGAGCAGGAAATGCACTTGTAGCGACTGGGGAAGGGTGAAGGGTCTCTCTAAAATGAGAACTTACTTGAGGTGCCGCAGACCCACGCAGAGCTGGCAGCCAGCAGCAGGGTGAGGGCGAGGCGCTTCCACATCGTGCAGCAGGAGTCACCTGAGGAGAAGGCAGGTATGAAGAGGAGCACATTGCCAGGGACAGCAAGAGCCCACTGCAGACGGTTCCTACCCAGCCAGCTCAGCCAGCTCTTCACTGGCCTGGCACAGGCCTGGTTCGATGACTCCAGCTCTGGAGCGGCCATTCTGAGTCCCTCCACACCGGTTTGCTCATTCCCTTTAACCCACTAGGTCTCTGAACACTTCTTGTCTGCCCTGGCACCCTGCCCTTGTCACTGGACATTTTTGACAAGCTTCCTGCTCCATTAAAGCAAGCTGTCCTGGGAAATCCTGAAGGGTGCAATACTTTTGAAGCACTTACTGCTTTGTTCAGTGGGAATCAGGGTGATCTATTCTTCCACCATGAGCTCTGCTGGAACTTAGTTAATCCATAACTTCAGATATTTACTCTTTGGAGTGATATGAAGTGCTTTCTTTTCAGTTGTTAAACAAACAGTGCTCAGGGGGAGCTTGACAAATGACCTGCACACAGGGGAAAAGTGAAACAGCTGAGGCACCCACTCTGCCTTTTGAAAATTTGGTTGTTTTTTTTTTTTTTTCCTTTAGATTCCTGGCAAGGCAGAAATCGTTATATTTACTTTGTAAGCATAACCACCCACTGCTAAGGTCTCTTGAGAGATCCCACCATCTTCTCACAGCATGCAATCATCCAAAAGAGACATACATTGCAATTTTTAGGAGTCCTCCCACTTTACTTTCTCATCAAGTTTTCCCCCCCAAAACAGCCAAGGGACCCAATCCCCCTGACAGCCATGAGCAGGTACCAGAAGCTTGTACCAGCACGCTACATCTTTTGGTGTACTGGGTTAGCTCTCATCAGCACAAAGTATTCTATTGAATTCTGAATATTAAATATTTAGAGAAAACCCCCAGTCCTTCTCAGAAGTTTTCTTGCACTGGAGGTGGGGGGAACCAGCATGTCCCCTTCTCTGAGAACAGTGTGTACAGCAGCACCTCTGCAAGCTGGGCAGCAGAGTCACGGAATTACTGAGGTTAGGAAAGACCAACCTGTGACCAAACACCACCTCGTCACCCAGACCAGAGCACTGAATGTCACATCCAGCCACTCCACCACCTCCCTGGGCAGCCCCTTCCAATGTCTAATCACTCTTTCTGTGAAGAAATTCTTCCTAATGTTGAGGACAGGGCATTTTCATGCAAATTACCTGTGCAGCCAAGAGTCCTCAGGGGTCCTTTGTCAGGGAAAGTGCCACTGAAAGGTGTCTCCTACCCCAGGATCTCGGCTCACATCCCATGACACTGTTCAGGAGAGCACTGAGTGCTTATAAAACTTTTTTTTTTTTTTTTTTTTTTTTTTTTTTTTTTTTTTTTTTTTTTTTTTTTTTTTTTTTTTTTTTTTTTTTTTTTTTTTAATTTTCCCCTCACAAACTTGACCATGGACTTTCTTGAAAACAAGCTCTCTTTAAACAAAGGGTTCACAGTTCAACCACTGGGGACTTGAGCTAAAGTAGATTGTGGCATCCAAAATCCCAGCTGGGGAAGGTGTGTGCACTGCCATCCTCAGTTCAGCCATTCCACAAGAAAACTTCCACTGACATTAATGGCAAGGGATTTTTGCTGCAAATAAAGTTTATGCAACATACCTGACTGCAGGAAACATGGGTAGGACCATATATCACATATTTTATTCATGTATGTAGCTGACTTTGCTATTTGCCACCACCCAGGTTGCATGGGTTTTTAATACACTCTTGTCTTTAAGACTTGGTTTGGTTGGAAATTTAGGTAATGCACATCAACTGCCAGCCTAGAAGATCCAAACCTGTGTGTCAGTCTCCTGAAAATTTCCTGGTTTTTTTAAACCTCTATACTGATACTCAGAAAGAATTATTTCTTCATCAGCTCTTGTGTTTTGAGGGCTTTATTTTCCTGTTTTCCCATTTTTCTTGACATTGTAGTGCAGCAATATGTATTTTGAAAGCCTGCACTTGGGCTCTCAGATGATCTTATGACTCCTGGTGCAGGGGATTGATGAAAAGATGCTCTAGGGTACCTCTGCCCAGTTTTGCATGCCATCATTTCAATCTAAACAATTACAGTGCTGGGCTCTCTGCTTTCTAGTTCACCTTCACTAAAAAAAAGGGATTTTTCTAAGGAGGGCTAGAAAAGTGTAAAGGGGGAAAAGAGGAAACTTCACAAGAGGATGGCAAGACAGAGGCTCCATCTACTTTAACTTAACACTGTGGAGAGTTGTGGTTCACAGTTGTTACAAACAGCCCTACCAAGGTCTCCCTCTCATCCTGGGTCCTGATTTCTTGCAAGGCCTGCAGAAACCCAGTGTTCTGTGAGCCATCACCTCTCCCCATGAACCATCTGAAATGAAACAGCACAGCCCATGAGCGCAAACCAACCTGCTCCTGGAGAAGGACCAGAGAGCTCAGGCCACCCCTTCCCTGCTCCCAGGAGGAAAAGTCATAGGCTACAACTCACCTTGTATTTCACCATGAAGGTCACTTGGTCACTGGAACTCTTCAAACAGAAGTTGCTCAAGAACTGCCACAAATCTTTTAGCTGTTATAACATGAAATGTAACTTCCCACAACCTTTTCATTCTGCCCACATGAGAATTAAACACCTCGAGCTGCTCCAGGCCCAGCTGGGGGGTGCACAGTTATTCATCCCAACCACAGAGCTGCCAAACAAGGAATTTACCTATGACTCTGCAGCTGCTTTACAGGTGAGGAGTGGCAGGGCTGCTTCTGAACCTGCTGGTTTGCAGAGCTGCCCATTCAGCTGGAGCAGACCTCCTTGCCTTCTCCTCAATTCTCCAGACACTTTACACTCTATTAAAAAACCCAAACACATAAACCCTCCCTAACCAACAACACCTAGGACAAGGGAAACAGCAGAAGAATAAAAATACTTTGTGTTTTTAAAACTCATTGGCACTTCCAGATCTTCACAGCACACCTCTCTTCCCATCCCACCTCCAGAGATCCATGTGGTAGTTAAATCAAACCAAGACAACGGCAGCCCTGAGCAGGGCTGACATCTCAGCAACGAGACACTGAGTGGAGCAATGTGTTTTTTACTATTGGTTTCTGTCACATAATTAAAAAAAAATACCAAAACAAATTACCTGTGTCAGAGGAGTATCTTCTGTCTCTGCTGTCGCTTTCTTTGCATGTTTTCTGTAGTGACACTTAAAGGAGAGCCTGACACTCTGGTCTGATATGATTTTTTTTCTCCTTATTCCTTCTCTAGGTAACTAAGGTTGTAATGATCACCTTTAACCATTTTCATCTTGCAAGACTATACAACACGAGTATGATTTCTCATGTTCCTGTCACATAAAGTATCTCTCCACACTTCCATTTAACTATCAAGTACAAAGGTGTTTTTCACATAGAAAATATTCACAACCATTATAATTTACTTTCCATCTACTTTGCAACAGTAGTGTGGAACTCTACAACCATCCTCTCAGTTTAAATTAGTCTGCTGGAAGTTTCCTGTCAGCATCTTATGAACACACCAATCTGTACAGATAGGAGAGAAAGCTTATCACAATCAGCTCTATGGGCTGCTCACCCAAACACCTCCAAACTCTATCAAGTTTACAGGTTCCCTTCTCCCACATAGTTGTAAATGCCCCTTCACTGGTTGCAGTCACTGTACACACTGCCTGCAGTAGGTGGAGTGCTCCCCTCTCCCCCTGGCACGGCAGGGACGCAGCACCCAGGGGAGCTCTGCAAACACCAGCTACCAACACACCCCCTTGCTGTGCTCCTGCCAGTGTCACCCCTGGAGCTGGGGGTTTGCAGGCAGCAGAGCTATGGGCAGGACGAGCACCAGCACAACCACCACATTTAAAATATCTTTGTTCTTAGATACAGCTAATGAAAATAAACTGTGACCTGATGTCTTCTACTCCAATTAAACCAGCACAAAAAGCTGCTACAAAACTGACCGACAACACTCCCATTTACCATTCCGCTCCTCTCTAAGGAACAGCTCTTAACTTCTGATGCAAGTCAGATAAAGCCACTTGATCACAGCACAGTTTTTTATTAGCTGGTTCCCACCAGAGGGGCACAGCAACCCTCTCACAACAAAATCAGTAACAGAGAATCCTTACTGGAAGCTCAGAAACACGTTTACTTTATATACAAGAAAAACTTATTTACAACAATCAACAGTAAACTATGTACAAAAAAAAAATACAAGAGACATTTCCGTGGTAATCACTGTATAAATTAACATAATAAATAGGAGGGAAGCAGGTCCCATTCTTAAGGCACAAAACCCTCTTCCCAAGACTGTACAGGGATTCACTTGCTTCCCTATGCTTTTGACAGGATCACAGGGATGGCGGGGAGACCCCTGAGGAACAACGGTCGGTGGACAATGATATGGACATGCAGTCACTGCTGATAGCTGTAGAAAAGCATCAGTTTTCATCCTTTCCTTTTTTTTTTTTTTTTTCTTTTTACAGTACACACATCTTAAGATACAAAATATTTCTTGTAAACAGTCTTTATAAATCAGGTCGCTAGTACGCACGTTTTTAAATAACACTAAAACAACGAATGAAGCCCCTTTCGATTTGGGTGCAGGAACATTCCCAGGACTGGCACTGAAGGCCTTGGCAGAGCTGGAAGCCCCCAGGCTCTTGTGCAGCCCAGCCAGGCAGCAGCTGTGGGCACGCAGTGGCACAGCTCCCTCTGCTGCAGAGCAGGGGGCAGGAAGATCCCCCCAGCCAGAACAGACAGGCTGGGTCAGCCCTCGCAAAGAGAGCCCAGAGAGGGCACCACTGGCAGCTGCTTCACGGGCCAAATGTCCCTCGAGTCCCCCCTGCATGCAAACCCCACTGAACCCAAACGTCATTCCCCAGAATCTGCCATTAAATATCCAGGACTGTGCCAGGGTGTGAGAACAGACCGAAACCTCTTCCTTGAAGGAACCCTATGCCCAGCTCATTGCAGCCCCTGCCAAGGGGAGGGATGATGAACAGAAGGTGCCATGTGGCTCTCACAGGAGTTGTGTTTTTTAAGAGACTAAACACTGTGTGATATGTGCAGTCCTAGCTTCTCTCAAGCTGGTGTTTACCTGAGACTGCTGGACAGTCTCTTTTTTGGCAAAGCAGCAGATTTTTAATAATTGTCTTTCCTGAGTTTCTCTCCCACAAAAATTTATCAGATGCCAGAAGAGGAACTCGGAATAATGTGGCCAGGAGTTCAGCTCTCTACTCTGCAGATGGTTTTCACTGATGTTCAAGACAAACTGTCTTCATCTATTCACAAAATCTCTGCAACAGAAATCTGCATTATTTCCAGTAAGATACACAGAGCTATGACCCTTTTGTTAGATCTATACCTTAACAAATATTCAAAGGCACTCAGGTTAAAAATGTGTATCCTATTCTCTAGCTCTTAAAAGAAGGTAGAACTCCCTCCCTGCCTCTGATAAGCAACAGACTGGAATATGCTGGTTCTTGACTCTTTGATAAATGTGCATGCACACAAAAAGGA